TTCTACGTAAAAAAACCTGGAAAGTGAAGAAATCACAGGGCCTTGCCCATGTGATGAGTTGTTGATTACATATTGGCTAGAGGTGGTGGCGGGCCGAGGCAGCAGCAACTGGATGTGATAGTCGTCAGAGTTGGTCGGATGTTGTAGTTGTCAGAGATGGTGACAATTTGAAGTCGCAACGGTCCAAGGTGGCGGCGACTGGAGACTGTGATGATCGGAAGCGGCTGTAGCAAAAGTCGCAGGCGGCGACAAAGACTAGAGTTGGTCGAAGGGCAACAACTGCCATAGTTGGTCGGAGGGGTCAGTTGTCGGAAGTGAAGCGGCCGAAAACAGCGGTAGGTCAAGGCGGTGACGGAGGCCGAAAGCAGTAACAACTACAAGAGCTGGTAGGAGGCAACAACAGTCGGAGTGGTGGCGGTGGGGCCCGCAGATGGCGGCGACGACTAAAATTGGCCGAAGGCGGCAGTGGTTGCAGTCATCCAAAGGCAACAACGACGACCGAGAGCTATGGTTGCCTGGTGTGGCTGTGGCCGGAAGCAGTGCAACACGAGGTGGTGGTAGAGGCAGTAGGCAGCATCAACGACAAGAGTTAGCCAAAACGTGGTGATGGTCGGAGTTGGTCAAATACACTGCCGACGATCGGAAGTAGCGGCAATAGAATGGTGTGGAGGGCAGAGTTAATCAGATGCAACGACAGTCGGAGGTGGCAGTGATCAGAAGTGGCAGCCAAAGTTGGTAGGATGCATCGGTGATAAGAAGCAGCGACAGAGACAATGAGCAGAGTACGTCAAATCTACAGTGTAGGATGCAAGGTTGCAACTCTTCCTTTTGCAGGCTCTAGCACTCTCCTTACTTTGGGTCTACGTCCTTTTCTCATGAGGAGGGTAGGGCTTTATTTGCGCAGTCCAGGTTACAAATACGAAAAAAATCCAAACCACTCTTTATTGATGATCCATAGAGATCCCTTTAATCAAACGATGTTTGATGAATATTAGAGTGACTTAATGATGTTAAATTTGAGTGATCTTGGGCTTGTTGGATTTATTTTGACAAAATGCTTGATTTGAATAAAAACATACATATTCTAATTACTTTTGATGTTCCAATTATGACTGTGATGCTTTTAAAAATTGTTTAATATAGACTTGATTTCACTATGATTGGATTGGTTTGGTATCATTGGGCCCATCCCATTGAGTCAGTCAGTTTAACTGTAAGTTTGCTAAAATTAAAATTTTGGATGACTTTTTATTGTAGTTTGAATGTTTCTTACTCAAGAACTTACCTTGAGATTCATGTCATGCTTCGAGATTTGTGCTGGATGATGAAATTTTGTTAAAGACGTGTCAAACCTTAACCTAAATATTTTCAATTATTCTCTAGGATTTGTCAAGAATCGATCAATAAAGTGCAATAATTGTTTGTAGAATATCTCTTTATCCCAATTTCTTGAAAATTGTTAAGGGCATAAGATTGATACTATTTCTTAAGTTTCATGACGCTTTTTTAAAAGATGTATCCAATAGTGGAGGAAACAGTATAAGTTAACATGGACTTGCAGCTTTTGGGGTGGTTTTTTTTTTTTGGATAATGTCACTGTGCTCTTCATTTAGAGCTACAATTTAAAATTCTTCTAGCTTATATTTTTCATTTAGTATGTATTCAAAAATTCAAAATAATTTGGTATCTATTCAAGAACTTCAATAAATGGCATGTTAATGGCAAGGTTTTTGAACACTTCTACAAATATAAAGCACCAATGATTCAATTTTTATTTAATATTTATAATGGCCACAACTTGAATTTATGTTCTATTTCCTATTGGCAACACTAAGTCTTTCAAATTTTAATTTTATTTGAATTGAATATTTGAGGTGAATTTAGGGGGATAATTATGTATGGAGTTGGAGAAATGACAACATTGATTGTTCCAATTGCCTAGAGAAATTTGTTAGTTGCTAACACATTGGTTATTTCATATACTTTTGTTGCTATTATAATTAAATTTAAGTATTTTTACAACTAAGATTTTAGGTGTTATAATAAGGTTTGTTAGGTTTATGGTTGATCACAATCATTAACTTCATAGTTGAAATTATAATATCTTTTAATATTATATAAGTACTCTGATCACTTATTAGAGATCCTTATATTAAAATTATCTTTAAATTAGCTAATTTCTTAGATATTATAGATATCCTTAAAGTTTGAATTGCCAAAACATCTTGGTCATGTGCACTAGTTGCATTCTTAAGGTTAACTCTCTCTAAATGCCATTAAAAATTACTAGCGGACATCTTCTCAATTAATGCATGAGCCTCATCATTTGGACATTAAATACCCCCTTATTATAGCATATATTATTAATAGAAAAAGTTTCTATATTTTGTCAATTTAGTAAAACATGATCTGGGTATTTCCTAAGTAAATCCGTAAATCTCCGATGGACTCAACAAAGAGGAAAAGAGAGTGATATTACTCTTTAGTATTTTTGGAAGGAGGAAAATACTTGGCTAAAAATTTATGATCTAAATCAGTCCAAGTGATTATAGATCTTTGGGGGAATGAGTGTAACCAAAGTTGTCTTTTCTTTGAAAGAAAATAGAAACAGCCAAACCCTAACAGTATCACTAAAGATAATAATATACCTAGAGGTTGCATAAATTTTCAAGAAACTCATAATGTGCAAGTTCGGGTCTTCTACAATTAACCCTCCAAGTTGATTATTTTTTACCATTTGAATTATAGTGGGTTTAAGCTGAAAAGTGTTTGTCTCTATAGTAGGTATTTTGACACTGATGAAGTCATCTACCATCGGGTTTGTGAAGTTCCTAAATGATCTTGGTTGATCATTTTCACTATATGGGTTGTCATTTTTCTCAACATACTTTAGGACTATTTCTATTTACTGAATTTTGTATCAATTTCTTTTAATTTCAAGATCAAAAGGTATAAGTTTACAACTACGCCTGCACAACTTAGTATTAAATATGTGCTCTATACTAACAATCACAAAATAAGTACAATTAATGTGTACAAAAAGTAGTTGACAATAAGATAAGCTAAAAGGCACAATAATAGAATATGATTTTTATGAAAAATAACCTATAGATTCACACACAGCGGTGTAAACGAGCAGAACACGAGCAGTCAAGAGGTGTAAGCTCTTGTTCAGCTCGTTTATATTTTGAGCTCAAAAAGAGTGTTCATGTTTGGGTCATTTACTTAGCATTTTCTTAGCGAACCGAACAGGAGCTGTTCACGAACAAAGAGTCGTTTTGACAACGCTAAGCACGTAGCCATAAGATGTTAAGGGTTGGGGTGAGATTTAAAAATTAATGTTTATATTAAAACATCATTTAAGGTGTGTAATTTGATCCAACGTATGGATAGAATCCCCGACCCGAAGGACTTACACCAAATGTCAAAACTAATGAGCCAGGACTAGAAGAGACTTACAACTGACAAGCAGAAACAGATGCTAGACCAACTGATTTGAGTACGCGACACACATATATATAATTGACGAGTAGTATTTTGAATCAAAACGAGCCGAACACGAATCAACAAATCTTTATTCGTATTCGGCTCATTAACTTAGCGAACTAGCCAAACACGAGCTTCTTAACGAGTTGTTCACGAACAACGAGCCGTTCTAACAGCCCTAGACACAAACTACAGAGACATAAGCCAATATGCAAAATAAATTAAAATAACAACTGATGAAAAAAGTGATTAAACTTAAACTCTAAATTCCTATATTAAATATGCAAAACAAACTACAGAGACATAAGCCAAATTGAAAGGAGTTGGCTCAAATTGAGTTATTTAGATCCATTCTAGCTTGAAATCAGCTCCAAATTGACTCGTGACTCATTGTATTTAATTTTACATGGCATTATATATATAATTCTTATAAACAAAAAACACAGTCAATTTAGAGTAAGTTTAAGCGAGATCCATGCATTGCTCGAAATTGGCTCAAAAAAATTTTGATACGAAATTTCAGCTCATAACTTAACTTAAGCTTATTTATATCGATCTGATCTCAATCCAAGCCAAAATTTAAATCAATTTATTAGCTATTAACAGTCTTTAGCTACATTCACAGCCCAATCCATATATACCCATCAAGAATTTCTTTTAACCCCGATCCTTTGTAATTTTTAGACTTGATTTCAAACAATGTATGAGCAGTTTGAGCACGACTGACATGAATTCTGATATATATAACTGCTACACATACTGTGGGGTCAAACAGTTTGCTTGCTGCCCATATGATTGGCAACTTGGAGACCACGACAAAACGCATCGGAAAAGCACAGGAGTGATGATGAGGTGAAACGGCCGCTAGCATGTGGGGGAACCCCATCTAAGTCATCTAAGAGAAAATATTACATTTGGATTATGCATTCAGACAACCAACACGACATGATGCAGTCTGCAATTTTTTTTTTCCCATCGATGTATTGCCTGATCGTTGTCCAGATGTTGCTTGCATTCAGACTTCGAACGTAATTTTTTTTTCTCACCCAAACTCTCCAATCTCAACCAAACTCTTAGCTCAGACCGACGAACCCCAAAAACTGTAAGGTGTTGTTTGGCAAAGATGAGATTCAAGATATTAAAATTTTATAAATCCCATAAAATTTACACAAGGTTAAATCTAAACTTTGAGATTTAATAAATGCAGGAATTTCAGCCGAAATCCATGGAATCCAGATTTAATTGACAGTTTTAAATCCAGCATAAAATTTGGGCTAAATCCATTGCCAGACAGCCCCTAAGAGATATTAAAGGGTTGTTTTGCTGCAGTTGTGGATTTACGTTGATAGGATTTATTAAATTCGCAAAATCTTGTTGATAGGATTTATTAAATTCGCAAAATCTTGTGAGCTCGCGACGCAGATGGAGCATGCAAGCAACGGCGGAATAAATCTGTGTACTCTGCCTCACAGTTGGATTTGATAAATCCGGCGGAATAAATCTGTGTACTCTGCCTCACAGTTGTATTTGATAAATTCAGATTTACGTCACACATAAGATGAATGGGGGGAGAAACAGACCCATCAGAGAGAATTGGAGGGTTGAATTTGATTTTACCTATTTTGGTGTTTGGCTAAATCAAATTCAGGACTAAATCGTGCTAAGAGTGTGCTACTAAACACCCCCTAAATGTCTTTCTTCACGGATAAAATTAAAATCTTGGCAAGTGATTGATGAGATGCACGAATAACAGAGTGATAGCACAAAGTTAAAACAAACATTTTGCTTTTGCTGTATTTTTTTTTTCCATCTTTTCGTCTGGGTTAGAAAAAACGTTAGTGTGAGAACAGATGCGAGGAACTACTGTTCAGAGTAGCATTGGTATGGAAGGAATCTGCAGCATCATGATGCATCATGACAGAGACCGCAGCCGGCGCTTGATGGAGATAATGGGCGAAAGAGGACGGGGGCACCGTACTGAGGGTAGAGCAGCATCAGCACAGTGGGTGCGTGAACATATGCAGGAGATAGACGGAAAGAGAAGCGCTGCAGGATGAGAGCCAGAGTGAGCCTAGCCTCCATTAGAGCCAAGTTCTGGCCGATGCACATTCGAGCCCCAAGCCCGAAAGGGATGAAGGCTGTGGAGTGCCGGGCTGCTCGTGCGACGCCATCCGCAAAGCGTGCCGGATTGAATTGAGCGGCATCAGCACCCCACAGCCCTGCATCATGATGAACCGCCATGATTGGTATAAGCAGTTCAGTGCCCTGTGGAATTTTGTACACTCCAAGCTGAACATCGGCTTTGGCCCGACGGATTGTTGCCACCGCAGGGGGATACAGTCTCATTGTCTCATTTAGAATCATCCCCAGCTGAAAAGCAAACAATTTGATGTTAAAAATTAATTCTTTTTAACAATTTTTTGTTAAATAATTGTGTCCGGCGTACCGTTTTGAGCCTGGAGAGTTGGTCACGGGTGGGAAGATCATGTGAACCGCAGATCTGGAGGACCTCATGGCGGGGGCGGTCCCGCCCCCCCCGGGGGCGCGCCCTGGGGGGGGGCGCGCCCCTGCCACTCCGGATGCATGGCGAGGAGCACCGTCGTCCATGTGAGCAAGTTTGAAGTAGTCTGCTTTCCGGCGAAGAAGAATGTTTTGCACTCCTCCACTATGTCTCTTACCGAGATCGCCGGAGGTGGTCCGATTCGCGGCCGCCCGCCGCTACTGGCATTTATCATAAGCCCGAGAAGGTCTTTAGCTGATACGGTTGCAGCACCTTCGGCTTTCCTCTCCTCGTCTGCAGCGGCATCCTCCTTCCGCTTCCCGATTAGCTGCACTAGATTCCGACGTATCTCTTTGTCCAGCTTCCACGAGCTCGTATTCTTCTTCGTCGGCAAAAATCTTTGATTCCAAATTCAAAACGTCAGTTTTGAGTCCTTCTCTTGGACTTTATTTTGAAGAAAAAAAAAAAGAGATTTTTATCACAATGAGTTCTGCATCGTTTGCCTTACCTGTATCCGGGAATAAGGACCATGTTGTAGGCTTCGGAGGCAAAAGCCATTTGCTTTGCTTGGAGGCGAAAGATCGCATTTCCATCCTCAAAGCTCCGACCAAAAGCTGTGCTGGTGATGGCGTCCTCCGTTACTCCCTGAAACCAATCGGAGACTTCAATCTCCACATCGCCACTGCTCGTGGACAATGACATCGCCGCCCATTTCTCCAGCATCTCCACCACTGTCTTCCCTATCGTCGGAATCAGCAGCTGCGCGAGCACCATTAAGCAGCTAAATGATACCATTCGTTTTGTGAGAGGATTTTAAAAACTCTAAATTGGTAAACAGAGGACTGACATACTTTGAGATTGTCCATGTGGAAGGTGGGGTTGAGGACCTTGCGGTGGTGCGCCCATTTCTCACCGCGGAGGCTTACAAGGCCCTCGCCCTCCAGCTGCCGTATCAAAGGGTGAGATTCGTAACGGTCGAAGAAATCGGCGCGAGAGATGAAGATCTCGCGGATGAGCTCAGGATCGGCGACGGCTAGCCGAGCTGTGGGTCCGAACCAGAGCAAGAAAGTTGAACCTGCAATACAAAAAAAAAAAAAAGAAAAAAAGAGGGAGGGTCCATCAGAAATCAGCACAAACACCAATTAGAAACACCGGTTAGCGGCATGGATATAGAATTGAAGGTAGACATAAGAAGCTTGTCCGTTAGGGGCAAGGAGAATCTTGGTGGGGTACGTTGCTAGACGACAGGAAGCTGAAACTTTCAGAGATTAGGGAGCGGTGGTAGCTAGCGGTATCCCGGCAAGGTCGCAGAATGGGGACAAAGAAAACGAAAGATAACTACTATAAACAACTTCCAAAGTTCCAAACTTGGAACTAGATGATCAGGCTACACAGGCTGCTGTAAAATTAAATGCAGTGAAGCAGGGTGCTAGAGTTAGGCGGCAGAGCAAGTCCAATTGAAGTGTGGGGAAGAGCAGCGCGCAGGAGACGCATATTGGCCACCACAGCCTGGAACAGCCTCCCAAGAACACTTGCGCAGAGAAAGTGAAAGAGAAGAAAATAGAAACAGGGTACCCAAAACAAGTTAAAAATTTTACATTTTCAGCAGTTTCAAAACTACCATGATCAGCAAATACTCAAATTTTGTTGGGTTAATGATGCACAGTTCGTAACCACAAACAATTATTATGCAAAAACATGCCTTTTTAAACAAGAAATCAGCAGTGAACACAATGAAGCAAATTTATCAATAATGCAAGCTAAACAGAGCAGTAAAATTTAGAGCAACCATGAAGAAGAAGAAGAAGAAGAAGATGATGATGAAAACAGAAAACTGGGGAGTTGAATTCATGGAAGCAGAGAACCGTACCATAGATCTTCTTCCAGTGGTGGTAAAAAGAGAGAACTCTAGGGAGAATGTTGTGGGAGTTCTTGGGCGCCATTGGCTTCGATGAAGCCTCAAGCATCAAGCTCACCATCTCCCTAAGGTTGCCGATAAATAAACGGTAAGGAGGCCCTCTTATGCCCTGCTTTGCGAAGTGCTCCTCGATCCTCTTCGGCCTCCACCATAAGATATTTATCAGCCTCAATGCCGCCGCCAAACACAGCGCCGCCGCCGCCGCCATGGATGGCACCCAACTCCATAGCCACCCCCACATCTCCGAACGCCTCCTTTCTCCTGTCGTTTTCTTCTCTGAGATCCTCTGCTTTTATTTGCTCCTCCGATGACTCTTGCAGGAGCACTAAAGGTGCTAATAGTAGAATAAGAGCCTAGTCCTCCACCTTTTGGCTTCTCCAGCCTTTTTATCGCTGCAATATATGGTGTTTATATTTTTATATAAACTTTATTTATTATTATTTTTTTTTGTATTTTTATCATGTGCATTTCTCTGTTTTTTTATAAATAATAATGATATTTTTAATATAATTGAAAAAAGTTTTAATAATATATAAATATATATATCTATAATATGTGCCTAATTATTTGAGTATCGCTCCAAACTGATCATAAATGAATTTGAACCCGTGACCTGCGGAAACTTACAAGGCTGGTCTACCAATATGACTATATATATATATTATATAATTAAAATTTAATTTTTAAAAATAAAATAATTATATTGATTACTACCACTAAACGAGAAGGAATATGATGCAAACGATGCGCATAGAAAGGGGAGAAATTTATTTACCAATATGCTCTTACGATCAATCATATATAGTTTTTCATGGAGGAGTGAGGGCGGCCCCACCATTTTTTATTAGTGGGCCCCACTGCAAATTAAGTTGTTTAGTGCTTCGATATGTTCATTAATTTGAAGATTCAATTTTAATTATTGTTTAAGATACTTTTTTTAGTAATGAAAATTAAAAATGTGCATGAATTTATATGCACACCACACAATTATAATCTAATTATATATTTAACCTCTAACATAATTATTACACCTAATTTTTACAAAAAAAAAAAAAAAAAACTCGTTGTTCGTGAACAATTTGTGTTCGGTTCGTCAATGAGTTCGTGTTCGATTCGTTCGATAAGTAACATTTCAAGAATAACAAATCACAACAACATTTCAAGAAATTTTTGTGAATTTTTAAAATTTAATAATTATTAATATTTATTAATATATTTTGAAAGAAATACCATAAAAGCCTCTCATATAAATTTTGGCCAAATTTATTTTAATGTGGGTTTTTTTTAGTAATTTATTATTAATTATCATTTAAAATTCAAGCAAGTAAAAATATTCATAAAAATTTGATTATATAGGTTTTAATTGAAATTATTTGGAGTTTTTAGAAATTATTTCATCTATTTATGTTTTAATTATTCAAAATGTCATGGGTTTATGTTAAAGTTCTATTTATTCCTAAGGTTCATTAAACAAAATTTGTATAACTTTACTAAATTTTTTTAAAAATTCATAAAATTTAGATTATAATTAATTAATTTTAAATTAATTAAAATTTAACTTGATTAAACAATTGATTTAATGGGTTTGCATAACTCTAAATTTCATGAACTTATTTTCTAATTAGGTAAGATATTTGAAACATTTTGTGAAAATTTGATAATTATTTTATTTATTTATTATATATTATTAATTATTATTTTATTTAAAATAATAGTTTTTAAAAATAGTAAATTTTGCCCTAAAAATTATGAGAATATTCCCTAGAGACTAGGATTACAACACATAAAATTTTGAGTTTAATTTAAATGAATTTAAATTTTGTAAGAATTTATTTATTTTTTTTAATAAAACTTACTTATAATTCAAAGACTTTAAAATCTTATGGAAATTTATTAGATGACTTAATAAGTTGTTCCCACACTACCATAAAAAATTGATGTTATGATGAAAATTTTATGAATTTTTTAAATTATTTAATTTCTAAAATTATAAAATTATTTTTATAATGAAATTTGATTTTAAATTTTCTATGTTCTCTCTCTATTATGAAGACTTATATGTTCAAGTTTAATAATATTTCTATTTTTTGGTTTATTATGAATTTCAAGTTTAATAATATTTCTATTTTTTGGTTTATTACGATTTTTTTTAATTATTAGATTTAATAATAATTTATTTAATTGAATACTTAACTTTTTTAATATTTTTGGTGAAATTAGCTTTACAATATTGTGATCTTGAGCTCAATGTCACGGACAAATAGTGTCACATTGGCTATGTTATGACCGAAAAATAGTATTTAAGTCCTCGGCTGCCTAACTCTCTTAAAGGCTCTTTTGGGATGTGACATCAAGCTCACCACTAACCTAATTATAGTATCTAAAACTATTTTGAGGGTTTTTTGAATTTTTTATCATATTATATTATATTATTTTTTTTAATTTTGATGAAATCTTTTTTAAATAATTAAATTCCTATCCAACTGAATTCACAATTTCCTAAAATAGTGCCCAACGAGACAACATGCCTTGAGAATATTTTATGCAAATTCTAATATTGTATTAGTACTTATACTATTTTTAATTATTTAAATGTTTTATCGAGTACTTTTGATCCTTAAAATATTCATTTTATTAATAGTTATATTTATATTTAATTTTATATTGGTAAATGTGACCCTTAATTTTAATTCCATGATATTTGGTTTGCTTTATAACAATAAAATCACAAATATCATTAATATTTATTACATTCAAAATAATTTAAGTAATTTAATTTTATAACTTATGAAAATATTTTGCCACATTTTATTTTCTCTTATATTAGATCAAGAATGTAGTCTAAAAGTAAAAATATTTTTTATTACTTCATAAAATTTTGATATTGCTATTTTAAATGGATTAAAAACTTAGAATAAATATTTATAAAATGTTACATTTTGATTGTTTGCAAAAAAATATTATTCAATTGAAATTTTTAGTAAATTTAGCTTTTAATAACTATAATTAAGGATTTATATAATTTAATATTTTTATTCATGCATAAATAAATACCTTTATCCATTTCAAATTTTGAGCAAGCAAATTTCAAAGAATAATAGCAATAATATTTTTTCTTGTTTCAATAAAAAAAAATCATAATTTAAATTCAAAACTCATACCCATTTCCTTCTTTTTTTTGCTTTAATGGGGTTTTCCATTAATATAAAATGGTATTTTATTTCTATTTAAGTCTCTCAAATAATTACATGTATTAATATAATTCAAAATGAAAATAAAAAATATTGTACATCATATTTTATTAGCTCCAATGACTATTTAAATCAATGACATTGACAATTATATTAGTTTTCAAGTTTCTTATTTTAACAAGTTGCATTATGTGGTAATACTTGGTTGTTTTGTTTTATAAAGGTAATACAAAATTAGTATTGGTGTTACTATTTTAAATTGCATTAATAATAAAATAAAAACTATCACATTGTAAGTAAGATAACATTTTTTTTAATGGTTGGGGCTAATGAAAAAACTTAGGGCCTGTTTGGGCAGCTTATAAATGCGGGCGGCGTTTTCAAAACGCCGCAGTTGTGTTTGGTTTTCAAAATTCCCGTGGTCCGCCCGCTGGCTGCGTTTCAAGATAAACAGCTTATCCTAAAACGCACAAGCTGCCCCAAACACGTCCTTAGTTTCTACCTCCCTTTTTGTCATCCACCACCTCACCTTTCCTTTACATGACACCAAAAGCTCTAGGTTGTGTTTGGGGTAGCTTGTGTGTCTCATGATAAGCTGTTTATCCTGAAACGCAGCTCACGGAAGGGCTGCAGGGTTCGACCCGCGGCCTACAATTAGTGTAAAAACTCAAACGCTATTTCGAATAAGCTGACGAAACGAGCAAACCAAACGGTACGGCGTCGTTTTAAAAACGTCGTCTGCACTTATAAGCTGCCTCAAACGGGTCCTAAAATTGGCTAGTATGATTTTAAGCAAGGGAACTACAAGTTGCTTCATTTTGAGTTAGGTGGAGATAGGAATTTTAATTTTTATCATATATTTGGTATTAATTAGTGAAAAAATCAATGGTCAAAAGCGTGCCAACAAATTTTTCTTTATGCCCATGGATATTTAGTAAATTTAGTAACTAAAGAACATGAAATATTAACCGTTGGTCAAGACAATCAATTATTAACAAATTATAAAGCGACAATCTTAGATCATCAAAAAGCCAAAACGTAGGTTTTTAGTCAATTAATAAATGGTAGTCATTAAATGATCCCGTTGGTTTTTAATTTCATAATAATTAACAGTAAACATGTCATAAAGCAATTGTTAAGTCGATATTTAATTAATAGAAATAAGTTGAAAAAACTGAAAAAAAAAAAAGAAAGAATAAAAGATGAGCATAAAAAAAGCTTTTCGTTAGAAATGTTTAAATTGATAGGAGCCACAACAAGATGTTGTTCTGACCCCTCCAATATGATAGAAAGATGAGCCTCGACATGTTTAGTTCAAGGGGGGCACTTTTCTGAGCAACCAAACCTCTGATTCAATGGGGTACGCCCATTCTACTGAGCCTTCTCTGCGAAAGGCTGCCTCAGATGGATAATAAGAAACCACAATTCGCCGTGATGAGTTTACAGGGGATCCCTTCTTCTAGATTTATTTCTTCTCCGACATTTTAGCTTTCTTCTGATTTTGATTGTGACTCTTCTTCTATCCTAGGTCGTGTCTTCTGCCCTCTATTTTGAAGAACCTCTTCTACACATGAGAGTAGCCCTAATCTCTTCGAGAAGAACTTTGCTCATTGTTAGATGGTAGAAATGTCTCATAGAACATGTAGGGATCTACCTGCGCTCCTAAGCGGCCTTATAAATATGTTGAGGGAGTATAATTATTTTAAGTTTGAATAAATACCATTGTCAATACCCTTTATGTTATCTAACTTAACTCTCGTTATTACTTCTTCAAACAGTTCAAAAAACGTAACATGGAAGACATTTCGAGAAGGAACATGTTGAAACTCACTTTTTCAGCATGTATTCACTTCCTCAAAGCATAGTCAACTAAGGGAATTTAAATAGGATCTTTATAAGCAGACCTTAAAAGGCAAGATGGGTAAAATCAGAATGGATCCTTTTCCCAAGAGAATCAAGATATCCAAAGAAATAGGATATTCCAATAAAAAACAGTAATTTTAGATACTATTCTTTGTAGGAGAAGCTGAGAATACCCCCATACACAATCGTGGAAAGTTGTTGACAACAAAGAGATCTAATTTCTCACAGGACAGGTCGATGAGCCCCCAAGGATAGAAGGATTCATTATTGAGATAAAACTCATCCTCTCCTCGAAGGTCTCAAAGGAGTAACACAATCTTCTCGCGAACATCCAATCAAAGAAATGAAAGAATC